ACTGAAGGAAAAGGATGAAAAAGCAGCTTAGGAAAGAGGGCTTGGGATCCAGCGAGTGTCCATGTGCCAATTACAGGCATTATGGGAGTTCAACCTCAGAGAAGGGAGGGTTTCTTGAGGCACCAGGGATGCCTCAAGGAGCAGGCAGGATTTGAACTGAACCTAAAGGACCAGAAGATTCTGCAGATAGGCGGAGGGGATCGGTGAGGCCATTTCATGTGCAAGACTAATATGGTGAAGATGGCATGTTTTCAGTCCTAGCCTCTTTTGCATCCTCTGGTCTCCTCCCTCCAACTGGGCCCATACATTTCACCTGGAGCTGGCAGGGGCCGTGGCCCCTTCTCCTCACCAACAAGCCTGGAGCATTTACTCAGGCCTGGGACTGGCCTTTTCTGGGGTTTGGAGGAAACACAAACAAGCCGTGCCACGCCTGGGAAGTCTAAACAGAGGAAGGCATATTTCACATTTCCAATTATGACACAATCTGGCCGGTGTAGAAGTGGGAGCCTGTTGACTTTAACGGCCCAGCTGCTCTCGTCTTCCTGACAGCAGTCGAAATATCCTCTAAGCAGAGGGGAGAACAGTGTGAAGTTCTGATGAGAGTCCTCCAGGATGGCCATACAAGAGCAGTGGTAATGTGGCCCTGGGGGCCTCTGTGCTCCTGTCCTGCACCATGCATTTCTAAATGTCAGTATTTGCTGAGAGGAATAAGCCCCATATTTCTTACAATTCCCTAAGAAATGTAATTTATTTGAGCTTTCCATTGCTTTCTTTTCCTGACCCCTTCTCTCCCTCCTACCTTCCTTAAGAGGAGGCAGCTGGAAAAAACCTTTCTTTTTTTTTTATTAAAATTTAAAAAAAATTTTTTTTTACATTTATTTATTTTTTGAGAGACAGAGAAAGACAGAACACAAGTGGGTGAGGGGCAGAGAGAAAAGGAGACACAGAATCCGAAACAGACTCCAGGCTCTGAGCTGACAGCACAGAGCCCGACGCGGGGCTCGAACTCACAAACCATGAGATCATGACCTGAGCCCAAGTCGGACGCTTAACTGACTGAGCCACCCAGGCACCCTTATTAAAAATTTTTTAATGTTTATTTATTTTTGAGAGAGACAGAGTGTGAATGGGGGAGGGGCAGAGGGAGAGGGAGACAGAATCCGAAGCAGGCTCCAGGCTCTGACCTGTCAGCACAGAGTCCAATGCAGGGTTTGAACCCACGACTGACCTAGGCAGAAGTTGGATACTTAACTGAGCCACCCAGGTGCCCCCCAAAAGCCTTCTTTCTTTCTGACCATCACAAGCTGTGCCTGCCTGCTTTCCCCAATCCTCAGGCCTTTCCCTCTCTTCCTTAGATCTCTGTGCAAGGCTTTTCTCTCCACCAAGAAGGGACAAACCCCTCTGCCAGGGGTTTTCAGATAGGGCCACTGAACCTGCCTTTGTCTCATGGGTTTCTACCTTCTAATTACCTTTGAATGCCTCACCTTCTCCTTCCTATTCACCTTTTGAACCCCATTACTTGTTTCCTGCCTTATAAAAGAGGCCATACCACAACATTAATTGCAAAGCAATGGAAAATGTAAGTGTAGTGGAAAATAGGATTAATCTCTCTTCTAAAACAAGTGTATGGTTAAAATGGTTTATTCATTTGCAGCTCAATCCCTTGTTCCACCAACAGAAGAGCTGGTACAGCTGCTTGGGCTTCCTGGTGAGGGTTGGTATTAGCCACCAAACCCTCTTACCAGTGTTCGTATTTGAGGTTTCACTGTAAAGCAGTTAAGTGTGATTTTTTTTTTAACATAAATATACCAGTATCTTGTGAGATGAAAACTACCCTCTTCAAAGTTGTGAGCTTATAAGTACTCCACATGTGCCACTTGTGTGTTTAGAATTGGTGATGCAGTTCTCTATCAAAGTTTCATCTGGTTCTGTTCATAAACCACTGAAATAGGTCAGAAAGTTCGGTAATTTTAGCATCTAAGTTATATTGGCAAGATAGCTTCTTCCACGTGAAAGTGGCTTAAAAAGTCGTTGTCAGGTCACGTGTCCTGATTTTTGGCTTCAGAAAGTACCACTCACCACCATACCCTCAGGCCCACGGTGCTGCTGTTCTGTAAGAACACTCATCAGACTTCAGGATCAGTTTACACAGTAATCCCCCCCCCCCCGCCTTATCTGACGATTCGCCTTCCGCAGTTTCAACAATCCGCAGTTAACAGCCGTCTGTGGGTGCCTGGGCAGTTCAGTTGATATAAGCGTCGGACTCTTGATTGCGGCTCAGGTCATGATCTCACAGTTCATGAGATCCAGCCCTGTGTTGACACTTGTAGAGCCTGCTTGGGATTCTCTCTCTCCCTCTCTCTCCCTCTCTCCCAGCAGAGGATCCACCTCCTGACGAATCATCGAAAGGTCAGTAGTAGCCTAACTTTACATCACAATGCTGCGTCATTCACCTCACTTCCCTCGGCATTTTCTCGGCTTGTGTCGTCACAAGGAGGGTGAGTACAGTAGAATAAGATATTTTGAGAGAAAGAGAGCCCACACTCCTGTAACTTTTATTGCATATATTGTGGCAATCGTTCTATTTTCTTTTTATTGTTGTGAATCTCTTACTGTGCCTAATTTAGGGAAAACAGTATGGATAGGGTTCAGGACTCTCCATGGTTTGAGGCATCCACTGGGGGTCTTGGAATGTACCCGCCGCAGATAAGGGGGACTATTGTGTTCGTACAAGAAAACCGCATTCCTCTTTCCACTGTCATCTTCATATTGGCCCCAAAGTTTTCTGCCTGCTTTATTCCAGTGATGTTTGAAGGTCTCCTGTCTGGAGATGAAACTTTACTGTAGCCAAAGGTATTCAAAGAATAGCTGCAGACTCTGAATAGGATTCCCGGAGAGCATTCTCAAAGTCTTCTGAACAGTTGTAGCATCAAAAAGAGAGACTTTTCCCCAGGGGTCCGCCTTGAAGGAGATGGTTGTTGGGTTGGGGGGCAGAGGAGGCATTCTTGCTTTGACTACATGCACCTGAGTAGAGGGCTATCCTCTAGAACAACACTGCTGACCATTCACCACCCTCTCCCTACCCCTGCGCATTCCTCCTGGGGGCAAAGGATAACTGAATCTGACCTTCAGTTGGGGAGAAGGACCGGATGTGGGTGGCTCAGCCTCTTCTGGGCTCTACTCTCGATTTGCCAGTCTGCAGATCTCTTAGCCTGAGGGAAGACACCTGCCCTGGAGAAGTCTGTGGGTGGGTCTGATTAACTTGGAGGTAAAGTATTAGAAAGCCCTCTTGGTTGTAGATTCGAAACCTCATGGTCAATAATGTTGGCAATATTTTGAATTTGATCTGTATGACTCCTGTATCTCTCTCATTCGGCTTTAATCTCCAGATGATAAAGAAAGAGGTGTTATTTATTAGCCTTTTAAAACACCATCAACTATGTTCATTTGGATGTATAAATTTCTGTTGCCTGTATTAGGAGACCAACTTCCTGTGTTGTAGATACGTCTGATATAGTAAAAAGTAAGGAGCCACAAGAGGGAGAGTCTTCCTTGGCCCTATCCCTTTATTTTAAAAATTCCTCCAGGGGCATCTGGGTGGCTCAGTTGGCTGAGCATCCTACTTTGGCTCAGGTCATGATGTCGCAGTCTGTGAGCTTGAGCCCCGCGTCAGGCTCTGTGCTGACAGCTCAGAGCCTGGAGCCTGCTTAGGATTCTGTGTCTCCCTCTCTTTCTGCCCCTCCCCTGCTCATGCTCTGTCTCTCGCTCTCTCTCTCTCTCTGTCAAAAGTAAACAAACATTAAAAAATTTTTAAAAATTCCTCCAAAAATATGGAAAAAGGGAAAAATGTCCATTTCCTGCTTGTGGAAGTTTCCTGTGAGCAGCTTTACTTGGCCGTTATAAAAGAAGATGATTTTCTCACGTTGGGTTATTTTTAGAATTGATGGAAATGCACGACTTTTGCTGTGATACTTATTTCCTCCTCGAATTAAGCTCCAACAGGGCAGGACTGTGTTGTTTAATTGATCACACCTTCTTTTGCTGCTGGTTGTGTTGCTGTCTCTCTTTGCCACCTCACTGAGGCTCAGGTGTGCTTGCAGAACCTTAAGTGAAGGTATTCTGGAGAGAGGTCAAAGGATCTTTCCCCCTGAGGACTCGTGTTGCAGCTACACTCTAGGAAGACTTTCTTTTCTTCCATGGTGTCCTTGGGCCCTTTCAACCCCAAGAGCAGGGAGGACTTAGTTCATCTGTCCATGGGGGCTGGGAGAACAGGACCTTCACCCAGGATGGATGTAGACTCCCCCCCCCCCCCGGCTGTGTGTGTGTGTGTGTGTGTGTGTGTGTGTGTAGGGCAACTGTGTACATCGAGCTCTGCTAGGAGCTGCAGGTTCTGACCTGGGCACTCTGAAGTTGGGTCTCAGACTGGTGGAGAAAGTTCCACTAGCTTCTCCCACAGAGTCCCTCAAGGCTTCCCCCCATATTTGTCTTGGTGCTCCTTTGCTCAGGAAATAGAAGTAAGTTGGAGATGGAAGTGTGGGGGAACCATTGTGTGGTCAGCCCGCCCTCTTTCCAAAAATCTTCTGATTCCAGCCTAATCATGTATCTGGCCCTTAGTCTGTCTCCAAGAAGCAAATACTGTCGTAGTTTATAGCAATCACCTTAGAATCCCCAGGCACTTGACAGCATGTTTGACCCCAGTGGGGGGGAAAAAAAAACATATCAAACCCTCTAGCAAGGGCGGATTCGATTGATATGCAATATAATCTGACCCCTTCCTAGCCTGGGCCTGGTATTTGTCCTAGTGTCCCTCTTTTCTTGGTGGTCTTGGGAATCTCTTCTTATCTAGTCCAGTCTAATTTCCCTTTGGGCTTTCTCTACTCAGCTCTGTACTTCTGATTTCTTTGCCTCTGGTCCCTCTCATGTCTGGACTTGGGTTTGAAGCTCCTTTTCAGGGCGGGGTGGGGGGCTTTGTTGTGTTTGCCCCACTAGATCTAGTCTCCTGTAGTAAGTGCCTTTTTATAGACCCTAATCCCTGTCCTGGACCCTTGACTGGGGACCTGGGTGGAGCCAGCTCTGCCCTCTCTGGGTGGTAGAAGTCAGGTGCCTGATAGTGAACGTGACAGAACTGGGGGCTGACGTGGGGGAGTTTTGCCTTGAATTATAAGCAGTCCCTTCTTATTGGTAGGTGGGGAATTGAGTGGCCACATTCTGTGACATTTTCAGAGTGAACATTTTCAGAGTGAGTTTGGTAATAATGGTTTTGGATACCCCAGGTTGTCTCCAGTATTTTTATAGCTTTCATGAAATTCTCAAAATAAAGTTGCTTTTACTTTTATTTTATTGAAAACAGAACAGTAAGGTGTAAAGCTGGATGAGCAAGAAAAGGATTATCAAACAAATCAGAGAAAACTTCTGTTAAGATTCCTTTCTGTCCTACTGTCCTTGTGTCTATGGCATGTGAAAATTAGGCCAAAAGAAGCTTAAGTAGGGAAAAAAGATTTTAATAGTAGAGAAGCCTTGCCTCTTGATGTTTTATTTTTTCCCTCTTCAAATACCAAAACCAGACCCATAAGTCTGGGTGTTTAAGTTTTGTTTCTAGGACACAGAAGGGAATCTAGAATTTTTAGAGCCATAAGAAAGTTAGAAGTGATTTGACTCAAAACGCCCGTTCTGTACATGAAGTAACTAATAACCAAATTGGTGAGATGAGGCAGCCGAGTCTACACAGATGGTTTGTGGCAAGTGTGGAAGTGGGTGCCAATACGCTGACTTCCCAGCTAGTTCCTTGTCCACTCGTGTCCCTTCATGACCAGAGGAGGGAAAGGAGGAGAAAGGGGTCTCAATGTCCCTGTTCTCAAGTAGACACCAAGGATGCTGAGTCAAAACTGAGAGATGGGAGAATGCAGAGGATGAAAGAAAGGCTTGGTACTTTAAATGTCAAGCTTAGGTCAGCTGGTTGAGAAAAATGCAGAATTCATATGTAAGCGCTCGCTAGATTTCTCTAAATTTTGCAATATGAGGTGTGTAAGTCATGTGTTTAAAACAGTATCCAAAAACCTCACAGAAGCAGTTATGAAATATTTTGTTTTACTGGCAATGGGACAAAAAATAATTGGGCATTAAATCAAGGAAATGGGGAAAAGGGAGCTGCAAATCAAGGAAAATGGTGGAAAATTAGGTCTTAGTGGAAAGAAATGTGTACATATGAACTGCCTGATGCTTCAGGGAAAGAAATATGGTACTGTAAATCTCCTCTTTAACCCTTTAAACTCAAGGGCTGAGTTGTTCCTGCCTGCCTGCCAGTGTCTGGGGAGCCAGCCACTCTTGGGGGGGAGAATTGGCTTCTCCCTGTCCCCTATTGTCAGAAATGGGGTGTAATGATTTAGACACAGCTCCTGTTTGAAACAGGAGTTGGAGATCCATGCTGTGATCATATTCCTAGGACTATCACAACATCCTCCTTCCTCTTGCCTCCAACTGGTGGAGGGGGGCTTCCTTCTGATGGCAGCCTGGGCCCAGGGAGGAGACACTGCAAAGCCTTTCACTGGAGGACACTAGGGCCCTGCCGATATGCCACCTGGCTTCATTAAATCCCGCTGAAAGCATGCCTTATTATCTGTCTACTATATACATAATTTCTATAAATTATATATTAAAAAATAAATAATAAACACCTTTTTAATTGCATATCCCCTTTTTCTCGTCAATTAAAGTGAACTTGCAAAGCTGCTTAACACAAAAAAACTACACAGACATCAACTCTTGTTAGATGCAGTACAAGCTGTTACGCTGATTTTCCCATAGCTGCGAGGATTAATCACAGATAATCATCACAAAAGGATCACACCCATATAAATAATATAAAAATAGCAAAATGCCCAAAGTGGAACTACTGAGAAAGAAGAAAATCACTTAAAAATGGATAGCTCTGAGTTACCACTTAGGGGCGAAGAAGAGGACAAGGACAGGGGTCAATGCTTGCTTTTGAAAGAGCCCGGATCTTGTCCGTTTGATTAGGGACTTTGGACCAGAAAAGTGGCTGAGTGACTGGCCCTGGGATGCAAGAAGGCTTTTAATCCCTTGGCCTTGATGATATTAATTTGTCAGAGAGCAGCCTTTAACTCCTATTGCCTACATGTGAAATAAGTCATGAAACTTCGTAGAGACAGGGAATGTGCACAGCTGGGAGAAATGATTCAAAGCTTCAGCAGAGTTCAGGTTAGACATGAGGGAGAACTTGTTTAGGGAAGGCCAAATGGTGACTTGATGGCAGAGGAAAGAATGGAGTTCCTGTGCCCAGAAATGTCTAAAATGAAAGTCAGTTCTCTCACATGACTTAGGCTGGGTCCGGGCTGGTAGATGGACAAGATGGCACCTGGGAATCCCCATCAGCTTGAGTTCTGTTATGTCTTAATTTGGGGAGGTCATTGAAAGGGTGTGACCTCTGGCTGACCCATGAGATGGACCCCAACACTCAGAGGCCCCTCACCCCCTCCCT